TTTGAATAAAACAAAACAAATAACAATGTTGGAGAAGCCACACTTCTTAATTTCAAATTTTATTACATAGCTATAATGGTATACACAATGTAACAGTGGGAACAAATAGACATATAGGCCAGTGGAATAGAATGGGCTTCCAGAAATTAATCTATATGAGTATGTTGATTCTTGAAGAGAATGCCATGAGTGTTCAGGGGAGAAAAGATTGTGTCTCCAACTAGCAATGCTGAAACAACTGAATATATCCACATGCCCAACAATTTCATGAATATGTATGCAACATAATTTTAAATGATGTCTGTTTAATGAATTCATTCATATCTATTCCTTTTTCATTTACATTGGTCTAAACCAGAGTTAATTTATTTAAAATCAAATGTAAATTGTTAATTTTCTTTGAAGATGTTTTTMTATCATATTTTGTTACAAATAATTTCTTTGCCTTGTATTGACATCCTTTTAAAAGAAATTTAGTTCTTGATGGAAATAATAGCTTTATTTTATTTATTTATTTTTATGTGGGCTGAGGATGGATCCCCGTACTTCACATGTGCTAGGCAAGTGCTCTACCACTGAATCCAGCCCCTCTATTTACATTATTAATGAAAATTTCAGTATTTTTCTTTTTAGACAATGAGTATTMAAAAGTAAAATTCCCATGATAAATGGCTTGGGGACTCAGATCACCAGCCATCAGGTGGTCACCAAATGCTGCTGCTAGTTCTTGTTAGAGCTGGAGCAGTTGTAAGAGGCACTAAACACACAGCATGAGAAGAAAACATTTCTTAAAAGATTATAGTAGGGCAGAAATATTGATTTCTGGCATCTTTCTTTTGCCCATAGCCAGGTGAGTGAGGATGATGCAATTGAAGTTAATAGCTTACTAAAATGATCAGTTATTTTTCTTATATAGATGTCTGGTCCCTATGCCAAGACATTAAAACTTTTTCTCATCCCCATTTCTATTCTTCATTCTTTTCAAAAGCACTCATTGAGCACAAACTTATGCTGTGTTAACAAAGGAGAAATTAGAGTTTTCATAGTTTTATACACCTAGATTCTGTCTTGATTTACAGAGCAATTTCTCAATTTAGACCACACTGTATTTCTATAGGAACTAGCAAAAAGCCTGGAACTTGGTTTTACAGTTATATTTCTCATACCTTTCATAGGTTTATGATAATTTCTAGAGTTTAATAATTGTTTAATAATCTCACTGGCATCACTTTTAAATAGGATCAAAATATAGTACAAACATTCTTTACCAAGAAATTATCATCATCTATCATTCATGCATTTATATACAAATGCATGCCTGTACCCATCTAACTATGGATCTGTCTCAAACTCACAGCACTTATTATGGGCCAGTATTTGTGAATAAGTACAGTCCCTGCTCTCAAGAAGCTCATGGATTTAGAAAAGGAGACAAGGAGAATACACATTGTATACTATGGGACAGGCAATATAGGAAGTTTGCCTATAAGATGTGAGAGCAAAGAGGAGAAATATCTAATCCAGACTGGGTAGAGAGTGAGATGATCTTTTTTTCCCTTGTAGTTATTTTAAAATTTTATCCATATTTTATTAATGTATYATCAATGGAATTCATTGTTACATATTTATACATGCAGATGTTATAAAAATATAAATTGGCCAATAGAGAGGAGGTTATTCTTGATGAATTAACACATGGGAAAGAATTTTTACATGAGAATTAATCAGCTAAGTTAAAAAGGTAAGAGGTCCCTTAAATGTATATATATATGATCAGAAATATATTTCTTATCGATTCTGGGCAGTAGACAAATTCCAGGAGTTTTATCACCACACTAGAATGTTTCCAAGACAGAGATCAGTAGGGATTTTAAGCCGCAAGTAGGCAGGGAAGACGCAGGAAATGCTGCCTTGGTAAGCTGGCTCAACTGCCTCCCTTTTCACCTTTGTGCTGTTCCTTCTGCCTCTGTTCTCTGTCCTTGTCCAGTTCCCTCTCTCTACTCTTCTCTCAATTTGCCTTTCATCTCCTCCTTGGAATGACAGGCACATTTACAAGAAGCCAGCAACAGACTGATCAGGAAGGTGTGGTTTTATTTATTAAAGAATCCCATGCTGAGAAAAGGCTCTGTCTGGGTAGCCACTCTGAGGATTTTCTTTTCTTTTCTTTTCTTTTTAAATCAGAACACAGTTGTATTTTAAACATTTAAAAACTTTGTTATAATTTATAAATGCTACTTTGAATAATTCTGGCATCCCTAAATTGAATTTGTAGGTTGTTTGTCTTTGATCTCTTACTTTGTATTTTAAAAAATCAACTTTTAAGTTTAAAGCAATATGCTGTTGATTTTTAGAGTTGTATTAAATAACTCAGAAATACAGCATTGGAAGTGAAAGCCGCTTGATCCTACTTTTCAGGACTTGCCACTGGTGGCATTTGGTGTGCATTTTTGGAGATTGTTTTATTCACATACATATACTCATTTCCATGGTATTAAATTCATTATGAATTTTCTTTTTTTCACTTAAATATAAAATATTTCTAGATTTATTTATGAAAAATAGTTTCATGTATTTCCTTGCATACAGGTTCTCTAATGTGAGTAATACCCCCACTATTGATTAACACTATTGATTTACTGTGTGTGTATGTGTGTGTGTGTGTGTGTGTGTGTGTGTGTGTGTATTTGCTCTTTGCTAGTGGGCCTAGAAATAGGTTTTTACATCTTAAATTTTCATAAATATTGGCAAGATAGAATTCAACTGTGTATAAGGGTAGTTTTTATTTTGAACATTGAAAATCCTGGGAATTTTTTTTCTTTTATCCATGCTGCCCCATCCCCATTATTTTTCTTTCCTGCTTGAATGTTAAAACAAAAACAATGAACCTCCTAATGACCAACGAGGCTGAATGTCAATCAGTCTGCTCATTGTCCATCCAGGGGTGTGGCTACTCCTGAGTCACTTGTGCTTCCTTGTCTCTTTTTAAAAATGACCCTCTCCTCTTGTGCTGTTGATATATTAACCCTTCTATCATTCATAATATTCTGGTATTATTTTTTTTGTTCCTATTGAACTATATTCAATGAATACATTGTGTATTAATAAGGAAAATTTTAACATTTAGAAGGAAAATAAATCAGTTCTCCCACGATTCAGAAAAAAAATCAATCTATTAGTGATGTTTTATACTTATTTTTGTTTTGGTCATCTTTTTTCTTTCTTTTTTTTTCACTTGGAAACAGAGAATGGAGGTTAACTGTATTCCTGAACATGTGTATATTAAAATTTTCATAATAGATGATCAAAACTTTTATATAGACCTGATTATACCTGCTATGAAATATCGCATAYATTGTCATTCGTCTTAGTTACTGTCCCTTTTCTGTACACTTGATTTTCTTTTATCTAAATTTTAAAAATGTAACAGGCTGTTTAGAATTTGTAGATATTTAAAAATTATACATTATAAAAATTGTACATATTTATGGGCACCAAATGATGTTTTGATACATATACACATTGTATAATGTTTAAATAGGGGTAAATATAATTATGTTCTCAAACATGGATCATTGCTTTGGGTGACAGCAATCAAAAATCTTTTCATCCAGATTTTTGAATACAGAATACAGTGGCGATAATGTACTATGTCCCTAATTCTTTTTTATTCCTTCCCATTTACTGTCGATAAAAGTCCTGACTTAGTGCCCTTATAGTGGAGCCTCATCACATCACCTCTGCTCTTTTCCCGCCTGGCTCCAGTGCCTGCTCTATATCATATGAGTAATGCCACTCCCTTCCTGGTCTCTCTCCTCTTGTCTGTTTTTGACTCTGATGGTTCCAGGAAGCTCCACTGGTTGATTTGCTTTCCTTCATATGCAGTGTGCAGTGGTTTCCACATGGAGCCAGGGCTTGTTGTGGAGTGACAGCAGGGACAATGGTGACATGAGAAAGAAAGGTTGTCAGTGAGGTGAGCCAGAGGAAAGCTTGGTGGTGGTAAAGCTAGTTGTGAACCCAGGCCACTCCAGGTGGGAAAGCATGAACTGAGTGTTTATTCTAAATATTCCCATACCTTCTTTTGGATTCATTTCTCCTTTTGTCATTTAAGTATCCAGACCATCATTGGTTGACTGACACTCCTAGTCAATTGATAAAACAAGTATAACTATGTTATGTAGCTTCAGTACGTAACAATAGGGTCACTGTAGCCCTTTCTTTCTATTTTTTTTATATTGAAGTTTTTATGAACATTTGAAAATAGAAATATGGACAAGCTATTGTTTAAAACCCTTGGTAGGTTTCTATTGCTCTTAGAATAAAAATCAAATCCTTATGGATTTCAGTGCCTTCCTATAGGTTTCAGGGTCTTTGCCCAGAACATTTCAAAGTTTGGACTACTGCACTTACTGTTTTTAAAATTTTTTTAAAATATATTTTTAGTTATATATGGACATAATACCTTTATTTTATTTACTTATTTTTATGTGGTGCTGAGAGGATAGAACCCAGTGCCTCACAGGTGCTAGGAAAGTGCTCCACCACTGAGCAACAATCCCAGCCCTCCATTACTCTTAAACAGTGACTTCCTATTTAGTTCAGTCAAAGCAGGCACGATTGAGATAAGTTGTTCTCATAGTATTCAGTTCTTCTCTTTAGTCAGTCATCAGTGTCTGTCCTACCTTTAAAGGTATCTAATATCTAGATGCACCATTACTCTGTAGATCCACTGAAGCCAGTGTTCTACTTCTAGTTCAGAACTTGACATATATACTTATATGTGAAGTATATACAGAACTTGTATACACTCATGGTGACTAATACTTGAATGAGTAAATAAATACACTAATTTTTCAAAATATGTTATAAATGTTGGTAAAAATTTCTTTTTWAAATTATTTTACCTAAAAAATAATTTAAATCTGTTTCAATATTTATTGATGAATATTTCTTATTGATTTGTTTTTGGCTTTTAGGCAGAACAAGGAATAAAAAAAAAACGAATGTATGAATCCAATTTCTCTGAAGTTTCTGAATTTATATTGCTGGGACTTTCTAACTACAGACCAGTGCAGCATTTCCTCCTTGCCTTCTCTACAGTGTTTTATCTCCTGATTATTCTGGAAAACACCCTTGTTGTGTTTACTGTGACCTTTGACCCTCATTTATATTCTCCTATGTACTTTCTTTTAGCTAACCTTTCATTTACTGATTTATGTTTTTCCACCTTGGCAGTTTCTAAAATGATTCATGACCTATATTCTGGGGATAAAACCATATCATTCCAAGGGTGTGTCACCCAGATTTTTGTCCTTCATGTCCTGGGTGGATCTGAGATGGTGCTCCTGGTAGCTATGGCCTTGGACAGATATGTGGCCATCTGCAAGCCCCTCCACTACCTGACCATCATGAGCCCACGGATGTGCAGTTTGCTTCTGTCTGGTGCTTGGCTTATTGGTATCATTCACTCAGTGATTCAGGTAGCTTTTGTTGTCCATTTGCCTTTCTGTGGTTCTAATGAGATAGATAGCTTTTACTGTGATCTTCCCTGGTTTATCAAACTGGCCTGCATAGATACCTATAGAATGGAGTTCTTGGTGACTGCCAACAGTGGGTTCATTTCCACAGGCACCTTCTTCTTATTGATTATCTCCTATAACCTCATCCTGTTCACTGTATGGAAACGCAGTTCAGGTGGTTTGTCCAAGGCTCTCTCCACCCTTTCAGCTCACATCTCTGTGGTGGTTTTGTTTTTTGGACCATGCATCTTTGTTTATWTGTGGCCATTTCCCACGGTGCCAGTGGATAAGTTTCTTGCCATTGTGGACTTTCTGATCACACCCATCCTGAATCCTGCCATTTACACAATGAGGAAYAAAGACATGAAGATGGCAATGAGGAAACTGATTAGTCAGCTCTTGGGTCTTAGGAAAATCTCCAACTAACTTACAAGAGCTCTTATAGTACCTTATTTAAATAGGGTCTTCTGTAAACATAGGTCTTTAAAGGGCTGAGTTTTCTTGAGACATTTTTTTTAAATCCCTTCTCCAGCAGCCTGAAAAAATCTTAGTTTATTTAAAGTTAATAACCAATAAAGTGGTTATATATTTAATTTATTTATATAATTATATAATTTATTTATAATTTATTTTAGATATCTCACCATTTTTGTGTTGGCCAGCTCTTAATTAATTCMGTGAAAAACTAAAACTTTCATGAATTTCAATCTACTGTGTGTATATGTAGAGTTAATGATATAAGTTAATATTTTCTTCTATCATTGGATTAAAAAATATTCTCATCTTAAAAGGAAAATTGGTTCTTATAACTGTTATTTTTCTTTTGGTAAAGCAAAGTGGTACATATTCTACATTGATTGGGTTTGATTTCTTTTTTTGCTTTAAAACTTATGCTAATAAATATTCTCAGTTACAATAATATAATTTTGTAAGAAATTTATTTTGTTTAATAAAGTAAATATTGTTTAATATTCACATATACATAATATTTAATAACATTGACTAAGAATAAAGTATTTTAATTTCCACTTTGTGCATATTAATTGTATCCCAAGTAATGTTTGATATGTGTATACATTGTGTAATGTTTGATATGTGATTACATTATATAATGTTTAAATTATGAAGAAGGTTTTGCTCCATTTTGACATGGCTAATGGATRTTTTCTGCCTAAGTGTGGTCATAGACTTGACCTCATGTTTGGCCAAGAACTTTTGGGCTTCCTGATTGGGCAGAACAAAGGCTATGCTCCATAGTTCTTTAGGGACTGTGGTTTGGTTACCTACCTTCCAAATAATATATATTCAAAGCGAAASCACTGTTGAGCAGTAACTCTAAAATGTGCATAGTGTTGCAAGGGCCCCTAGAACATTAACCAAAATAGACATCATTATATTCTTATCAAAATATTAAATCATATAGTGTATGTTCCCAGATGAGTGTGAAACAGATGGGGAATAGAAGTAATAAAGACAGTGGAATGTATCTAACTAACTTTCCTATGTACATACAGAAATACACCACAGTGAATCCCTACATCATGTACATCCTCAAAACTGGAATCCTAATTAGAGTAAGATATACTCCTTTTTATAAATATGTGAAAACAAACTTTACTGTATTGTATAACTAAAAAGAACAAATAAAAATGTAAAAATACTAGCTAATTGTCTTTTTAAGAGTATTGATATCACCCTTTTCAATTATTTATAGGAAAAAAGTTTATAAAATCAGAAAAATGTGAGTTCATTGTTAAATGAACTTCTTCAGTTTAATCTATCTTTCACAATAGTCTGTATGTAAGCTGTGTATCTCATGAAGTCCTCTTCTAATTTTATATTAGTATTGAGAATGAATTAATTTACTACTGTTTACTTCTCCCATTTTCTTCAGGGACACATATTTTATTGAATGTAATAAAAATTCAATAAATTTTATCATCTGTAGATAAAAAATGAAGAAATCACTAGCATAGTTAACTCTCTATATCCATGTATTTTGACAGTACATATGCCACTTTGAAAAACTTTGAGGGAAGAGGAAGGAATCAAAAAGTAATAATATAGTATTGTGGTTTAATTTGAGATATCCACCCAAAATTCATCAGTGTGACAATGCAAGGAGTTTCAGAGGTAAAATGATTAGATTATGAGATATGTGACCTAATCAGTGAATTAACACAGTAACATGAATGAACTGGGTACTAAGTGTAGAGAGGTAGGTTGTGGCATGAGGAAGTATGTCACTAGGGGTATCCCGTTAGGATTTATATTTTGTCCTCTGGTGATCAAAGCATGCTCCCACTCTCTGTCTCTCTCTCTCTCCCTCTCTCTCTCTCTCTCTCTCTCTCTCTCTCTCTCTCTCTCTTTCTCTCTCTCTGTCTTTCCTGGTTGCCACATTCTGAGATACTTGCCCTTCCATCTTGCTGTTCTGCATTACCTCAGGCCCATAGCTATGAAGTTGGCTGTTCATGGACTGAACCTCTGAAACTATGAGCCAAAATAAACTTTTTCTTCTCTATTGCGGAGAGCCATCTGTGAACTGTGTGTGAACTAAATTGATGTTGAAGCTATTAGGAAGAAAGCCCGGTATCAGGGACTCCCAGCAGCAAGCCCACTGGTTTGAGAATGCCTGGTTCATGTGGCATCCTACCTAGTTCCAGCTCAAGTTAGCATAGCACCAGTGATGGAGTGACCTGCTGGAGCTACACAGCCTCTCAGAGATGGGTATGGCTTTCTAAAATGTCAATCAACCTGTTTGCTGCAAGGACCATGTCACCACAAGAAGCAAGACTCCTCCTGCTGAGCCTTTATCCCTGCCTTTAAAGTATTCCCCCTTAAATAAAGAATCAGGGTCCTTTTCAGTTGTTAGGTTTTCCAATTCCTATTAGGATTGGAAAACCTATCAGATGCTCCYCTTTTTATATCTAAATTCTGGTTCTGTCTCTGTTCTTACCAATTGCTTCAGACTTTTTATTTCCTAGGCAGCTCACACTTCCTGAGCAGGAACCTACTTTAGTGGGGTGCTGGTCACCCCACAATATTCTGTGTTCACAAAACTCAAGGAAACATTTTTTGCTTACATATGTCCATTTATTGTAAGGATATGCCAATGGGTACAGATGAATAGCCACATGGAAAAGATACAAAGGGCAAGGCATGTAGGAAGGGGCATGTAGTTTCCTTGCCCTCTTTAGATGTACCATCCTCTAGGACCCGTAGGCAGGGTTGATTAAATTATTGGCTCCTTGGGATTAACTCTGCTTTCATCCATTTTCACCTACCTAGAGTTCAGGGTGGGCCAAAATTTTAATAATCTAATCACATAGTAGATTTTCCTTTCTTTTAGCCCCCATCCTGCAGCTATTCATGAGGCCATTAATTGTTACTTCATTAGTACAGAAGACACTTACATGTTCCCAGAAATTCTAAGGTATTTAAGTGTTTTGTGTCAAGAACCAGAGTCAAAATCAAATATTAGAACAGAAGAGTCTCCTGTASCCGTACTTAGGAAGGTATTAGGAGATTTGTCTCAAGATCAAGGGCCTGAGATGAAACATTAAAAAAATATTCTCCTAGACCCTTAGTGCTCAGGAAATCAGGCATTTTGTGCCAGAGACTGGAGAAATAGACCAAGATGTAATTTCTTGTTATTTCACAGTCTACTCCTTGGTTTCTGACCACAGAGATCTTAGCACAAAAGGATCCTATAAGTCAAAAGTACTGGGAATTTACTGGAATCACATTCAACCATCAATATGTAGTTCAGGCCATCATGAAAGAGTATGAATATGTCTCCCAGGGTGGAGGCCACTCAAACTTTCAGGCTTCTTTCAGTTTTGTCAGGTTTCCTAAGCAGGAGTGGTCTTCACAATTATATGGCATTGCGTATAATTGAGATGAGAGAGATGTTTTAGTTAGCTTTTCACTGCAATGACCAAAATACCTGAGAAGAACAATAAAGGGGAGATAAACTTTATTTGGGGCTCATGGTTTCAGAGGTTTCAGTCCTTTGACTGAATGGAGCCAGCTCCATTGCTCTGGGCTCAAGGTAAGGCAGCACATATGGAGGGTGGGTGCCCAGCAGAGGAAAGCTGATCAGATCATGGTGGGCTCAGGAAGCCCAGACAGTGAGAACAAGTTGGGAAAAGAACTGTAGGGAAGATGCACCCTTATAGAGAGGGTTCCTGGTGAGCCACATGCTCTAGTCATGCCTCATAACTAAACCGTAACAAGAGATAAAGTCATCTCTTGCTATAAGTATCTTTCAAGGTGTTAGTGTGATATTGGAGTTTCTTCAGTTAATAGCTCATTTATTAATTTTTTAAACCTCACCCATTGTTCATATTTCTACTTATGAATATCCACAATTTTTCCAACATTACACAGTCAGTCACTGTGCTGTTCTAAATTGTGAGCAGCAAGTCTAGCAAGTACCTCTCCCTCAGTCCACTCCCATTCAGAGTATATGTAGAACTAGAATTAGTGAAATACTTCTGCCATTAGGAAATACAGCTGCACTTACTGTTAAGCTCAATTTTGCCAAATAGGATAGAGATAAAATCTACCCACATCAGTACTTTAGAAATACTAATATATGATTTTAAAATATAGCTACAGTTTCTTGCTTCTGTGACTCATCCCTGCTTTTAGCACTTGTACTTGCAGCCCTCACCCTGTGACCATTGCATTAGGTGGGAAAAAAAGTAAAAATAAAAACAACCCAAGATGGGCAGGGGTTGTGGTTCAGTGGTAAAGCACTTGACTCACATGCGTAAGGCAATGGGTTCGATCCTCAACACCACATACATARATAAAATAAAGGTATTGTGCCCATCTACAAATTAAACACAAAGTCTTAAAAAACAAAACAGGTATTATGGGGAATAAAGGAAAAAAAGTATAGCCATTAATAGTCATAATACCAGCCTTCCTTGGCAGGAATTGCAGTCCTATCAGAATCCTCCACCACTCTCTCTTCCCAGATCCACAGAAAAACAGGGGATTAATTTAGTGGGGATACTTTAGTCCTACTCATGTCAAGTTTGAGCACACACTCAAGTGTCAACCCTTAAAATTGTATCCTCACCCATTTTAGATAATCTATGTTTCAGTTGCCCATTCCATTTTGTTATGAAACTRCTATTCTGTGGAGGATATTTCTTGACCATTGTTTGTTTGACATTCTGGGCTACTCAGAGGGTTCCTTGGTCTACCAACTTGGTGCAATATCTTCTGTTATACTTTTTCTATAGCTCTCTGAGCATTTGCAGCTTCCACCAGGAAAGGAAGCTCAGTCCAGAGTCTGTAAAACCAATCTGCCACCCCAAGGACTAGCAGCATCAGTCTGACTTGTCAACTGTGTTTAGGACCATATCTTGCCATTTCCATCTACAGTCTCTGTTTCTTTTGCTGGTAGACAGAACAATTCTTGTTAGTTTTTGTTCCTCAGGGGTACAAAGAAATATGTCTATGTTAGGCCCATCTCTGCAATGCTGCAGCTCTCCCATACCCACTCCCTTAGTGGAACAGGTGATCACCTCAACTGGGATTATCTGCTTGTCAATTCCAACCATCTTCTGAACCCAGGAGTTTTCTACTAGGCATCAACTTTTATCTCTTTAATGTCCCCCTTGAATTTTTATTTGTCTGCGTCTCATGCAGAATCCCTTTCTTAATCCCGGTTTCCATGGACTTTCTGCCTGCATGTATGGTGAGGCCAGTCACCACTGTTCATGAGCCAGTGAAAACTGAAATATAAGGTCTTTTACAACTATTCATTTTTTTCCATCACAGCTAGAAAATAAGATGCAATTCATTCTACTGGGCTCATTAGTTCATATATATATATATATATATATATATATATATATATATAGTATTTCAACATTTCCTCTTTTAAAGGCACATAAGGAAAAGTTGACAAGATCTTCTTGACATTTTCCACATTGTTACTAGGGATGTGCCCTTTGTTGATTGGTTCCTGATATATCAATTGTCTCGCACTTGGGCTCTGGCTGGATTACACAGTCACTTTCTACAAAATGGAAACTTAACGCCCTTCTAAGAAATTAAAACTGATTCATAACAKGGTGAGACATGTTAAGATGGCTGTTCTCTTGTTTGCCCTCTTGTTGACATTTTCTCTCTCTTGCCTACTCCCAACTGCCTATCTTTTTCTATTTCAGTGACATCATTCCAGATAGGATGTTGTCCATTTGTTTTTGAACTGCCAGACACAAACAAGTAGCTATTTGTTGGTTAATGCAAAACTACTTACAGAGCACTGTCCATGTGGTGATCGAGTACTGCAGTACCTCAAGCAATTTAGGTCATTCCTCAGAGAAACGGGGCTTCCTGCCTGTGAGCATCTATGCCCTCCTTGCATTCTTCACATATCTTGATCTGTACAAACCATTTCTATATATTATGGTACTATTATGGGCATGGCCATTCTCATTAGGATATTTCTTTGACGTCCTCTTAAATATTAGTGGTATTTCTGGCTCCCTGATCATTTTATATGCTTCAGTCAGATGGGCAGCTTCAACTAATGTCTCATAACTGACATACCTAGCCTAGTTATCTCATTAGATCAGAAGCCAGCTTGTCACAAGTTATGAAGGATTCATTTCTGTTTTCTGTAAAAATATCAGGATGTCTGTATGGCCTGGCCATTAGTTGATGTTGTAAAGCTGATTGGAATGCCTGCCCGTGCCCTGAACTCACCCATGTCCGGTTTTCCCTGACCAGATAACAACCCTTTCCTAAACCTTAGTGACRCCTCATAAATYCTGGCCTTCCCTGACCGGATAACGACCCTCTCTGAGTCTCTAAGATCTCCATAAATTCTGATGCAGGGCCAGCAAAAAAATGTAAACTTGTGTTATGCTCCTCAGAGTGTTGTTATCTGTAACCCCCCCCCCTTTTGTGTAACTTTTTGGGCTATAAAACTGGGCCACAAAGAAGCCTCAGGCTGTCTTGTTCCCGCCGTTTTGGGAGGGAGAGGCAGCCCGGCTGGTAGAAATAATAAGCTTGCTTTAATTTGATTTTAATTGGAGTCAGTGGTCTTTTCTTGCGTCCTGGTCTAACAATAACAATGTAGTAAAGGCCCTCAAATTGAAGGTCTCCTGGCCGAAATCCTTGCAGTTTTCTAGGATGTCTCAGAACCTGACCTGGAGAAGCACTTTACTTTCATTCATCCATTTACTATAAAAGATATTCAAGATCATTCAGAAAAACAGCCAATTAGAAGAGGTGCACAGGTCAAAGTCCTTGGGAAAGTGTGCAAAACTTTCATATCCTCCTGAGATGTGCCCATCCTTCAGGAACTGTTGCCAGAAATAGACTGGCTGAGGAGACTCAAGCAGCACTTGGCTTTATTTATGCCAAAGGGCCCAGAGAAAAAACAAAACTCCAAATTTTTGAGCCCCTATTTCACAATATATTTGGCCTATCTAATGTCATATATTTTCTAGTCCACAGATAAACGATTGTGCATGAGGGTTTATAATGTGAAACAGTGTGATAAGAGGAAGAACTGGTTCCTCTTACCAAGACTTCAATAAAGATAAATGTCTAGCCTTGGGCTTAGAACCTCTATAGGTGYGTTTACATTTCAAAGGGGAGTAGTCAGGGGAAGTTATCTGCAGTCCAAAAAGTAGGGATCCATGGCCAATCAAGCTTCCTGGAGAAAGGCTGAGAGAGGGGAGGGGAACCTACCTCTTCCCCAGGCATAGGTTTCTTACCATAACATTTTTATAACTTCTTTGAACAACTAGGTCTTGTTTGCTACCACAGCACCTCCATGTGTTCCCCTATCTTGAAACTCTCAAACACTGTTTTTTGAGATTTTATGGAAACATTATTATGTYGGTCTAATTGATTCAAACACTGGACCTTTATCATCTACTGTCAGCCTCTCCTCTCTCTCCCTGAATTTGTGGTGTTGGTCTGAAAGACTCAACCTTCCAACCTTATCTTGATTTTTTCTGTAAATATTTTTCTGGTGATAGTTTCAGCCCCATCCTGAAACTATCTACACCCCAGCACAACCCCCAGTCATTTCATTAGAAAAACAAGACTCTTTTGTCCATCCAAAGAGCCCAAGGGATTTAATAGCTTTATGTTAGGAGATGGATCAAATATGGAATGTATTACTGAGCTTGGTCCTTGTTTCCAATAACAATTCAAAGATGAAGACAAGAGTTTGAGAAAAAGGAAAAASTTTTATCACTTTGCTAGCAAAGAAGAAAAATGGGGGATTCCTGTTGCAGAGACTGTGATTCTGGCCATCATGGGGAAGAGAGGATTTTCAAAGAGGTAATTCAAAGGCTACATTCCAGTATTCCAGTGTGCCTTGTTCTTTTTCTTTTTTTTTTTTTTTTAAATTCACTTGGTAATTTAGAAGGTAGCTAATTCTCCATCCCTTAAGTCTGAATTCCTTCCTTTCKGTTGTGGGCATGTGCTCAAGGACAGGTAACTTCACCTAGGATGGGAAGAAATATACTTCTGTTGTCTCCCCCCAGGTTAGGCATGGGGAGATGGAGAAGAGAAAAGATATATGTCTGTTTCAAAATGAGCCTCAGTGGCAGAACAGCAAAATTTATATTCAAAGCATGAAGTGGACCATAATTACAAATATATATTTTAAAATATCATGCAAGGACAATGGATTTAAATGTCCTGAACCTCTGTGTTCTTTCCAATCTCAGGAGCATTCTTCTACCTGCTTCTGTTCATTAAATTAATTGTCCTCTTCTCTATTTTTTTCACATGGTGAGAAAAGTCCCCCTAAATTGAGTACCTTTTGGCACATACACAGTTTATCTCTGTTGGTCAGATTAGGACTGAAGAATTAATATTGCCAAAATGGCCATACTACTAAAATAACTACAACAATTCAATGAAATTTCCATTCAAATTCTAGTGGCATTCTTTATAGAAATAGAAAAAGCAGTCATGAAATTCATGAGAAAAAATAAGAGGCCCAGAATACATAGCAATCCTTAGTGAGAAAAGCAAAACAGGAGGCATCACAATACAGAACTTAAATTATACTACAGAGCTAGAGTAAGAAAACCAGCACCAAAACAGGCATGAAGACCAATGGAATAGAAGACATAGAGATGAACCCACATAAATACAATTATCTCATACTAGACAAAGATGTCAAAAAAAATACATTGGAGAAAAAATAGCCTCCTCCATAAATGGTTTAGGGAAAACTGGAAATCCATATGCAGTAGAATGAAATTAGACCTCTCTCTCTCACCCTGCACAAAACTCAACTCAAGGAGGATAAAAAACCTTGGCATTAGATCAGAAACACTGTACCTACTAGAAGAAAATGTAGGCCTAACATTCCATCATGTCATTTTAGAAAATGACTTCTTCAAAAAGACTCCTAAAGCATAAGAAGTAAAATAAAAAAAAAAACCAATAAATGGTATGGCATTAAACTAAAAAGTTTCTTCATAGCAAAGGAAACAATCCAGAGCATGAAGAGAGAGCCTCAGAATGGGACAAAATCTTTGCCACCTGAACCTCAGATGGGACATTAATTTCCAGGATATACAAAGAACTTAAAAAACCTTAACACCCAAAACACCCAAACAATAAATAGGCAAAGGAATTAAACAGATATTTCTCAAAAGAAGAAATATTAATAGTCAACAAATATACAAAAAAATTCAACATTTCTAGCAATTAGAGGAATGCAAATTAAAACTACACTGAGATTTCATCTCACTCCAGTCAGAGTAGCAATTATTAAGAGTACAGATAATAATAAATGTTGATGAGGATGTGGGGAAGAAGGCACACTCATAATTGTTGGTGGGACTGTAAATTGGTGCAACCACTCTGGAAAGCATTATGGAGATTCCTCAAAAAACTAGGAATGGGACCACCATTTGACTCAATATTCCTAATATTCAATATATATCCAAAGCTTTTGAAATCAGCATACTACAGTAATGAAGCCACATAAAAAGTTAATAGCAGTACATTTCACAATAGCTAAGCTATGAAGCCAATGTAGGTGTCCCTCAACAGATGAATGGATAAAGAAAATGTGGTATATATACACAATGGAGTATTCCTCAGCCATACAAAAGAATGACTTTATGACATTTGCCAGTAAATGGGTGGATCTGGAGACTATCATGCTAAGTGAAAAAAGCCAATTCCCCCAAACCAAAGGTTTGTTTTCTCTGATATGTGAAAGCTAACCCACAATAAGGGAGGTAGGGAGGAGTGAAAGAATAGAAGTTSAGTGGATTAAACAAAGGGGAATGAAGAGAAGGGAGGGAGTAAGAAGAGGAAAGACAGTGGAATGAATCYSATATAACTTAGTCCTGTGTACACATATAAATATATAACAGTGAACTGCACCTTCATATATATCCACWAGAATGGGGTCCAAATTAGAAAGAGATATATTCCATGTCTGTGTAGATATATCACAATGGAATCTACTGTCATGTATAACCAAAAAGAACCAATAAAAAAGGAAACAGAAGAAAAGAGGCACAGTGGGACTAAAGTTAGGAAATGTACATATGTAGATTCAGCTAGGCTGAGAAACAGGTTACATTCTGTTTCCCAGGCACCCACCAAGGTCAGAGGGTTGCCCCTCAGCCTCCATATTCAGTATGAGGAAGYTCAGGAGCTAAAACAATTTGGAGATTTTAACTTCAGAGGGGTTCTGTTTCAATARGAGACTCAAAGAACGTCCAGATGTTTGAAGTGTAAAAAACATTTCTGGCTACAGGAGAAAATAAGGCCTTGGGATTCAGGGGTGGGGCATGGGGGGTAGTGATGGTTGTTTATGGTAGATAAMAGGAATTAAACGAAATAAATGCATGGCAAATGGGAGAATTTGTTGTGTGCATGAAGTCTTTCAGGTAACCAGCTTCAGAAGAAAAGATGATTGCTTGCAACAAAGTTTTTCTGGAAGAGGTTTCAGACTATTTCATCCCTGAACCTTCTTGCAGTGTCTCCCACATCAACTTTCTGGGGAACACCTCATGTCTGGACCATAAAATTCTGGTAGAATGAGTGATCAGGAAAAAGGAGGTACTATTTTGAGGGCCTTAGACGTATCTAATCAGATGGTGTCAGAGATATCAATAAAGTGTCTTGAGGTCTAACTGTCACCATCTATTAGACCTGGACAGTATCTTACAATGTAATTCATAAATTGAAATGCAAAATTTCATGCTGTCATAGAGTAGAAATGGAACATGATCAAGCTTAGCAAGTCTGGGGCGTAAAGGGATTGCATGAGTTTCTGGTGCCACAACTACAATACCCACTTCTGCCAGGTTGTTTCCCTTGTTACACAGCTATGACTATGTGGGAAACTCCTTATAAACAGTGGACTGAAAATAAAAATTTTGCTTCATGTTTACATGAAATATGGGCAGTAACCAGAAGTGAAGGTCTGTGGTCTTATAGCCTCAGTCAAAAAATGCATTAYGCTTAAGCATTTTTAATATGGTTGTGGTCATATAAAACAATGATTAGGAGAAATGATAAACATGGGAAGAAATTGTGACAGTACATTGGATTATTCCCTTTTGGCTTGTAAAAAGCATGAGTCTATATTGATTCATAAATAATGATAACAGTTTGTTTAGATGACTAGAACATAGAATGAAGACACTAGAAATATTGATGACAAACAAAGGAAAAAATCCTAGAATTAGATACTTTCAGAATGGGCACAGATTATCAAAATATAGGTGTCTATTTGAATGCTAGAGGGCATCCATTGTAGAGGAAGATTTTCTAGGTGGACAAAGCATAAGTTTTTTTTTTTTTAAGGTGTCCCAGTATTTCATCAATGGGTCCTCATATAAAGTGACCAGAGTTTGAAGTCCTGTATGCAATGAATCATATGCATTATATGGCTATCAGCACTTTAGAACCCATCCACTAATATGGCACAGTATTCTGTGGAGATCCTAGTGGTATGTTAGAATATGGATGATGTTAGAATATTTACACCATGGAGGAAGTAGAGAATTCACATTTATTATAGATATGAGAATGCACATTTATTGTAGATATGAGTATTCTTCCTATGACAATACTCAGCTTACACGACCATCCATGGGTTTAAGTATTTTCATATTCACCATCATGATATTTGTGCAAACTTTATTTGACAGCCACACAAATGAAGCAATGGGTTTATGACCAATGAATTTACAWGTCTGACCACATACATGATCACTCATAAACAACTGGTCTATAAGAATGTTGAATGGCATAGTGATGAGGCTGTATGGCTCTCATGGGAGAAAAACAATCATTATTTCTAAGATTTGGGAATGTAGATGAGAAAGTGGGAGAAGATCCTCTGATTGTTATACTTACTACTCACTCACAAATCTTTTACTTCCCTTCCGCTATCGTTGGGTTCTGTTGGATTGGAAGACTCTCTTCCTGAGAAAGTTATACTTCCATCAGAGTTTAAAACAATATTTTCATTAATTTGAAAATAAAAACTGGCTATGGTAATTTGTGCTTTGTCTAGGGAACATTCATATCTATAAGTTCTCTAGATTAGTATTTTATAGATGATTCTAACAAAAAAAAGAAATTAGGTCTGCAAATTAGATTAAAGTGTATATACTAGGCTTGAATTGCACAGTAAAAAATGATGAAAATGTCTGAGTTGAGGGCATTTACTCTTGGAATTTGTCATGCTGTGTTATACTACAGAATAGTCAAATCTGTGTTTTTAATTTTTATACTCATTTCATGAAACGTTTAAAATAGTGCTTAAATTTCAAGTTTAACTTCTAACGACTTGCAAAGAGCTATAAACAGAATAAGCATTCTGGGTAGGAAAAAATGGTAACTTAGAACATACAGTGATGAAAACACAGTGGTTGAAAGAGTATCCCTTAAAGGTGAATTGAGGCAATTTCTAAGATAGAGACAACCAAATGATGGACTGCCAGTTCTTTGTGACCATGGGTGAACAGGCATGTGCTGGAGACGTATTCACTTTCTTCACAATATATAATAAAATAGAAAACTTAATTGAAAATTATACCATTTACAATAATTAGTGTTTTATTTGTTAGCTTAATAGAGACAATTTGGTACTTTATATTTGACATGAGTTATGCTTTAACATATTTGGTGAAAAGTAAATTTTCTACTGTGATGTTGAGTGTCAAATAATAAATAAACACTCTTGGAAGTATGATTCACCCCTCAGTTCTTTAAGTAAAGCAAATAAAGCTGTGTTAACTTCAAGAAATTTGGTTCCTATATTTGGATCTTGTTTTTTCATTATTGACTTGGGCGTAATACTAAAGCACTGAAGAGAATACATAAAAAATAATGACATAATAACATAGATCAGGCAGTCAAGGATGATACCTACATTATTTTTTTTTCTGTCATTTGTTGTAAACAGCTCCAAATAAAATAAATAAAAATTTCTCATATGGCATCCTTTCATTTTATCATTTYTTTATTGATTTCAACAATTCAGTTTTAATCCACTTAATTCATCATTCTGGAWAAAAGAACAGAAATATTATTTATAACCTGCAATCGTTAGGAAATTCTTTGAAATGTCAAAAGAGCTTATTGCTATACACATTGAGAAAGACATTTTATAAGCATATGAATGAAAATATTGGTATCTATTTGATTTATTAATGTATTTTGGTTGCTAAGTGCCATTGCAGTGCACTATGTACTATAGTTTTAAGAATAACTAGGTAAGCCATGTCCCTGCTTCAGGTAGATTACATTTTGGGATGTTTACAAAACTGATTAATACTTGAAAGCAAAAATATTATTCTTTTAGGTTAATAACTATAGCAAATATCATTATTACTGATTGAATTATTTTTATTGAATTAATTAAAACCAAATGAGTCATTACCTCTGCCATTTTCCCTAAGTGTTTTACCACTTTTATTTCATTCTCTTTCAATTTCCCTCCTTTATATTTGGATAAGAATCTCTGTTAAGGAAAAAATAATAATTTTTTTTTGCCTTTTGTGAAAAGATAAGTGAAATTTGCAGAGGAAGAATAAGTGATTCATGAGCATGTTTTTTTTTTCTAGTGGGGTTAAAAATAATTCAAAAAAAAATTCATGAAGATGCAGTCCATCAGATTGGATCTATGGTGGTGTTGACTGTATTGCATCAGTTTCTTTAATGTAGTGGAAAGCATAGGAAAACTAATCAAGTAATTCCCCCACAAAGAAGGACGAACAGTGTTTGAGTTTTAGAAAAAAAAATCACATTGCTTTCCTGGGAAATGTTGATATGTCCTTATTTATAAAATCCTTTTTCTTATACCTGAGGACAGTAATAACCTGTATACAAGATTGAACATGTCATAATTTTCAACCTATTTTATAAGATCAATATATTGTCAATTTGAAGCACTCACTTGCTTCTGGGCATTAAATATTAGCCTTGGAATCATGCAATAGCTTTTGAATCTCTTCATAGCATCTTTAATTTCTTTATTTCTCAATGAGTAAATGGCAGGATTTAAAAGAGGTGTTATAGCAGTGTAAAACACAGCAAGAAATTTGTCCAACCATGYAGCGCTGACTGGCCACACATAGATGAAGATGCAGGGCCCAAAGAAGAGCACCACCACTGTGATGTGGGCAGTGCATGTAGAAAGAGCCTTGGATGCACCAGACTTAGAGCTTTGGCGAACTGTGACAAGAATATGTGTGTAGGATATCAGCAATAGAATAAAGGAGGTTACAGCCACAAACCCACAGTCAATGTTCATTAAAGTGTCCAGATTTTTTGAATCCATGCAGGCCAGCTTGATCACCAGAGGCATATCACAGAAGAAGCTGTCTATTTCTCTGGGGCCACAGAAAGGCAACTGCACAATCACACCCAGGTGACTCATGCCATGCACAAAGCCAGCAATCCAGGCAATGGCTACTAACCCAATGCACCTTTGCAGACTCATAATGGTGGTATAGTGGAGGGGTTTGCAGATGGCTACATAACGGTCATAAGCCATGGCCACCAGTATTACCATCTCAGTCCCTCCAACAAAATGTACAAAGAGAACCTGGCACATGCAGCCTCCAAAGGAAATGCTCTGGTTCTCCCTGAGAAATCCTATGATCATCTTAGGAGTGGTGATGGAGGAAAGCCACATGTCAACAAAGGATAGGTTGGCTAACAAGAAGTACATGGGGGWATGRAGATGGGTATCCTTGATGATTAGTAGCATGATAAAAATATTTCCAAATACAGTCATCAGGTAAATCATAAAAAATATTATGAAGAGCAAGACCTGAATATCCCATGAATGGCAAAGTCCCAGAAGCAAAAATTCTGACACTATGGATTGATTTCCTCCATCCATTTTATGCAATGTGTCTTCTGAAATATCCTTGAGAGAAACATAGATTATCAGTTATGGGGATAAAAAAGGAACTTGACTTTTAGAATTTGATGTTTACATTGATATTAGCATCTATATCTGAAATTAAAAGTATAATTGGAAGAAAACTCAGAGTTCAATATATCTAGTATTATGTTCAAATGGAAATATAGCCATGATGGGATTTTAAGAGAATAACATGGAATTGTTAGATGAATAATTCATTATGAGTGTTCTTTCAACAGGGTGTGAGGAAAGTAGGACAGCAAGAGGAAAAGCTAACACATGCTTGAGATGTTGCCTGGAAATAGCTCCAGTTTTCTGGTAAAAAGGATCAGTCCAGTAAAAGTGATCTGGGCAGGTCAACAACAGTAATCTTTATATTAAATAGCAAAAATTTAGATGATGTCCTTGGAAAAATGATGGCAAAGTAATATTGCAATTTGGTAAAAAGATTTGATATAACATTATGGTTTCTCTGTAGTTGTCCTATATAATAAAAATAACTATAAATTTTTCACTCTAAAATGTATGTTAGATCAGTGTTTTAGAGATAAACTATAGGAAAGGTCATATAATACATAACTGATATGATGCCATGCATGGTGGCACACACCTGTAATTCCTGTTGCTTGGGAGGCTGAGCCAGGAGGATCAGGAGTTCAAAGCCAGCCTCAGGAAAAGTGAGGTGCTAAGCAACTCAGTGAGACCACTTCTCTAAATAAAATACAAAATAGGGCTGGGATGTGGCTCTGTTGTTGAATGCCCTTGAGTTCAATTCCCGGTACCAATAAATAAATAAATAGACAAATAAATAAATAAATAAATAACTGATATGAAGATTTGTATACAAACTCAAATACTACCTTACTATTAATTTTAAAAATATATAATTAAGTGGATATTATTTAATCAGCTAAATGAATACAAAAAAATCTATGGAGAATTATGTAAGACAGAAATTAAAGTAGAGGCCACTGAGACCAAAAAATCAGAATTCATGRATCTAAATTGAAGCTTAGTTTTACTCAAGATTCTTAGCAGAAAGTATTTTTCTTCAGTTATATGAATGAATGTTGGGAAATCAACCAGCCTTGATATAGTATCATSTCTGTCAAAGTCATAAAATTTGTCTATTTTATGATCTATATATCTACCTATCATCTACTTAATCTAATTTGTCTAAGAATATATTATAGAGATATGTAGGAAGTTATTATATTTGACTATTAATGCTTAGTAGATAAGAAGTTAAAACTTCAGTGATGAGAAATTAAATCCAAATATAACAATGATATTGCTTATGTTCGTCTATAAATAAACTGAGGTATCTGAAACTGGAGATTAGAAAGATTACTGCCCATTCTCCTCACCTCTTTATTAATTCTCTTTCTTGACATTGCTCCATTTTTTTTATCAGCTTTCATCTCCTTTTATACTCTGAACTTTCCAAGGTGATACAAAGGAGAACAGGTGAGGAATGGAAACCACTACAGCTTCCCAAACAGTTCCCTTATCTTACTCTGAGATCTCAGAAGTACAAAATAAGGACAGAAAGAAAGAATCATTCCTAAAGCAATTTGACAAAGCATACATTTTCTGTTGAAAGAGAGATGAATATGATAATAGCCTCAAAGTACAAGTAAACATATAATCTGTAATGAGAATTACCTGACTTAAGGATAATACCCTGATAKCATACCAGATATGTGTGTGCCCCTGAGAAACTTGAAATATATATTTTTTTAAATTGAATTTTCTATCATGGCAAAACTTTCTAGGAAAAAAAAATTTAGTAGCAATTTCTCTACTTGTTGGAATAAATGACATAGAAGAGTGTTAATAACAAAAGCAGAATTTTGGTGGCAATCACTACAAAATGAACACATAGTTTCACAGGGAACATTTTTAGCAGTAAGAAATCCAGCTGATTTTTATTAGTTTTATAAACTACTAACGTAAGAATTATTATAGTATAACTATATTATCTAATATTAATAGGTAAATTAAACAATCATTATTTAAGAAAGTTTAACAGTCATCTGTTTTTTAATTTGTAAGATCTGGTCTGAGATATCACTCTTGTGAACTGTGACTTTGATACTAAACTATTACTTTTTCTATTTTCTCATTTAAAAAAAAAGATTATTCAATCTAATAGGCATGATGTGAAAATGAACAACAAAAAATAAAAAATCACATATATTTTTTGGTACTGTGAAGTTTAATAAYTATTAGTTATTCCTCATCTTTAAGAGTACAAGTTTTCAAGGCTTTTTGGAAAAAAAAAAAAAACAACTGTAAAGTACAGCCAATTACTTTCTCTCACTGAAACATAYCCAATTGCCTTTCTTTATGAGTGGGGGTCAGGGAGGAACCTTTCGCCAAGTCCTGCAGAGAGAACATCTCAGGGAGAGGAACAGAACACTCAGGTCAGAGGTGAAGCCACATGACCTGCAGGGAAACRACAAATGGCCCGAGTGAAGTGTGTGGGAGGCCAGTGGGAAGGTTGGCRGTGGCCAGCTGAAAGGCCCATGGGTATAGAGGACTTTGAATTTACTCTGAAGGCTTGGTGATGCTGTTGAATAATCCCAGCCCAAATGTGCCACAAGAAGATTGTTCCCTCTTTGTCCTGTCAGAGTACTGGTGAGCATACCTCTGTTAGAGCATTTATTACAATTGCCTTTTAAAAATGCTACTATTTCAATTTTCTCTAAATTAACACACACATGCTTAGCAAAACTATGGGATGGACAGGCACATAGCACATATCGGACATATCCTTTCTGCTATGCCCTTTTCATTTTTTAATTTTGCTTTGGCCCAGGAGGAGTTATTAATAATTTAAGAGGATCTATAGGAGACAGTAGAACATTGTGTTAGAGTRGATTTAGATTTCTTTAACTCGGAATTTTTACAAACAGGGTTAATGATAATTCTTAAACTGTTAAAATTGTAAATTTAAGGAAAACGGACAAATTGCTCTTCTTGGAGGTAGAGAATATAGCAGCATAATGGCTTCTAGGTTTGTAAGTCAGGCACAGAAAGATAAATGCTATATGATCTCACTTAAATGTGGAATCTAAAATGTTAAATGCACACAAATAAAGAGTAGAATGGTGGTTACCAAAGGCAGGAGGTGATACTGGCCAAAGGATATAGCTTCAGTTGGTCAAGAGGAATTTGGTATATTGATCTATGCCACAGCTTATTATGATATTATAAAAATATAAATAAAATGCATTATATATTTTATTGTGGTGGCTGGGTATTGGGAATTCATCCCAGGGCACTTAAATCACTGAGCCATATCCCCAGCCTTTTAAAATTTTGTTTTGAGACAGGATCTCACTAAATTGCTTAGTGACTCACTAAGTTGCTTAGTACTTTGCTAAGTTGCTGAGGCTGGCCTCTAACTCGTGGATCTTCTTGCCTCAGCTTCCTGAATTGCTGAGAGTATTGCAGGTGTGCACTACCACATCCTGTGGTGTTTTATGTTTTAAACCTGCTAAAATACAAATTTAAAAAGTTGTAACATGAATAATGAGAAGATGGATATGTCAATTACCTTGATTTAGCCATTCCATGTTGTGCACATATATCAAGACAACAGATTGAACCACATAAATGTACAGAATTATTTGTTKATTAAAATAAATAAAATATAGCCACAAACTTTGGTTCTCCTTATAGATATGCTATCTTTCTATGAAAAATATTTTCTATCATAACCCTAAAACTCTGTGAGAATATCAATATTTACATAAGGACATTCTTACCCTTAAAGAAATTAATAGATTGTGTTAGATATGTACTGGGTGAGGTCCACTGGAAGAAATGTTACGTTCCTTCTAGTGCCTTGTTCTGTTTTCCTTCTTCCTCAGGTTAGAAGTTTTAATACTATTTCAATATGAACATCATTATGCATTGGATTTTACTTCTAAATCTTTGAACATCACAGAGAATATTAAATGACTTACTCACCATGGGTGTTCTGTAAGGTCACATTTTCTTTCAGTGTGCTCTTCCGCAACACACTGGAGTTGACACCCATTGTTGTGTGGAGACAGTATCTGTGGAAGTGATTTCCCTCAGCCTGACGTATTTAAAACACAAAAGAGGTCCCTTGAGAGAAATTTTCCTGTTCTGTGTTTCAGGCAGAAAAAGAATCATGGATTTTTTTTAAACATCCCTTGAGTACATCTTTGTTAGGAGTAACAACAACCTTTTCATACATTGGAAAACATAACAAGGAGACAAGATAAACATCACAGAGATCAGCTTTGGAACCAGCCTAGATGTCCATCAACAGATGAATGGTTAAAGAAAATGTAGCATTTATACACACAATGGAGTTTCATTCAACCATTAAGAAAAATCAAATTATGTCATTCGCAGTAAAATGGTTGGAATTTGAGAACATTATATTAAGCTAAATAAGCCAAACTCAGATCCAGGGTCATATATTTTTTTCTCACATGTGGAAGCTAGAGAGGAAAAAGGAAAAGAAACATGTTGGTAGATCTCATGAAAATCACAGGGAGATCAGTTCAGGAAAGATACCAGGAGGAGGAAGGAGGGGAGAGACTGAGAAGTGCTGGGAAGTGATATTGACCAAATTACATTGTTATATTTGTGCATATATGAAYATTTGACAATGAATTCCACTATTATAATACTTAATAAAAAATGTAGAAAAAAATCATCCATGAGTTAAAACTTAGTAAAATTTAAACATTATGCCTATAAATAATAAAGAGGTAATATCTGAAAACTTGATCTGTAACTTGATATAATTAGATTCAACTAAAGTTTTAATTTCAGTTAAAAGACAAATCATAAACCTATGTGATATATGACTACATTGTTTAAATAGGTAGATAATCTTGGTTGGTTGACTGTTGTTTTAATATTATCTGTGATTAGTTGACATCCTGACAGTTATGCACTGGATATCTAATTATCAAGATTATTTCTAGAATTTT